GAGAAGAGAGAGAGAGAGAGAGAAAGAATCTCTGTTCTCTCCTACTCTTGATTTTAAACTCGACTTTTTCGCGATTGCGCGCGTAAAAAAGTTCTTCCTCGGCCAACTAAACGTACACGATGTTGTACAGCTTTGCAACGCGCGTCCGGCGTCTGTTTTATGCAGACGAAATATTTCACGGGAATATCATCTGACGTTTCAAAAAGTTTGAGATAATGCGCCGTCGTGTGCAAAATATATCAGTGAACGTTTGCGAAATTTCCGTTTCCGCAATTTACAGAGACTTTACTTACGTTTACAACTTTCATCATTTTTTTCCGGTTTCTTTCGAAAATTATTTGCTCATTATCCACGGTGCTTTATGATATTTCAGCAGTTTCAAGTATCGATCACGCGCTATATTATTGTATATACGAGAAATTAATGAGCAACCGTACATATAATATATATATATTCTTTCGGGCTTTACTCCGTTTTGTATCATCCCAATAACGGATCTTTCCCGCGTTCGACTATATAAATAGCACACAAACCGCATACGCACGTGCGAGCGTGCGGAATACGATATCGCGAATTTCGGTATTTACGAGCGGAATTCAGCCGAGATTCGGTGATCAATACCGAACTCGTTTACGCGTCCTCGATCTCTCTCTCATCGTGAATTCGAAACGCTAGAAAACATTCGCTAAGTTTCGCTCGTTAAAACCCAGCTTCACCGAACTCACCCACTCGGAACAATTAAATTTCTTTTTTATCGTCGCACGTATATCATTTCTCATCGATTACGGTATGTCAAAGTATAATTTGACAAGTATAAAATCATTTTCGTATACAATTTGCAACAAGAATTTCATCTCCGTCTAAATCCGGAAGGTTAATAATTATTTATTATTGTTTTTCACGAAAATCCGAAAGAGGTTTCGCGCGTTTGTTGTAGATCGGACGGGAAATCAATTAAGACGCGGCCAATTAAACAATTTGCACGCGATTCAATCAAGTGCAACACACGTTGAAATCCTGAAGCGCGGTGTGAGAATACAAGCCGCGCGCGTTTTCGCACATCGCGCCCAGGTATACACACACATATATATATATACGCGGCGGGATTTACGAGCTTCGCTCGCACCGCGAATCGACAGATAGGATAGGTGCCGAAATTGCGTGGCTCGTTCTCGATTCCCGATTACGCGCTACATCGCCATCGCCGCCGCCGAAATGCTGCTGCACCGTCCCCGTCGAAATGCAGAATCCGTGCGCATTTTCACCAATTGCTCCGCCGCATATATAAACGTTGTCTCTCCCCCACACCCCACCCCCGCCCGATTATATATATATATATATCGACTGCTTTTTTCCCCCATGACATAAATTGTGTATTTATATGCACATATATATATATATATATATATATATGTGTGTGTATATACATATATATGGATTTGTACCAACCAAAAGACTATGTCGTCTGTATGTCGTACACACCCGAACTTTGTTTGGATCCATTTCGCCCTCCGTGTCACTCAACGAAATCAACATCAACCGTATCGATTGATCTATCTGTACAGCGTGTGTGTGTCGCATGTTATGTGTATGTGTGTATATATTGTGTATATATATATATATATGTGTGTGTGTGTGCGCGTGTGTGTGTACAGAAATATATTAATGGCCGTTTCGTGTCGTGTGTGCAGTGTAGCTGCATGCCTTCCTGACGATGTGCGTAGATGATGTCCGCCGTTGACACGCAGACCCTCTCCCTCAAATTCCACTTCCTGTCACGTGTCTGTGTACGTGTTCGCGCAATGGACAAACCGGGATTGAATGCCGGAATAATTTCGGCGAGTTCTCTCAGATTTCGGAGCGACATGTATGCGAGAACGATTTTCGTGTCTGCGTTTAGGTGCAAGATGCGACGTTTTCCATACCTGAAACATCGAGAGTCGAGTTCGTCAAAATTGTGAACGGCAGTCTCAATCTCTGATTACACCGAAGGAAATATGTGCGTTTGTGTATACCTGTGTAGAATCATGTATATACGTTGTAGACACACACACACACTTCAGTGTGTATCATTTATAAATTGTCATCGATAAAAAGAGAGCATGATCGGTTGTGCGCGATACATTTTACAGTCGGCATATTCAAATGCAATTTTCTCCGACTGAATGTCGTGAAATATACATAAGTGCAACCGTGCTTCGACTGTGACGTTCCTTCCCTTGCATCAAATCCATTGCCGTATCGAATTCGATCGTGTGATAAATCTGTCAAAATCATGTTTTCGCGAAAAATACGCGCAAATAACTTTTAACCCGTGTTTTCGAACAAATATGTGCGTAAACGCGTGTTGTTAACAAACATGGATAATTAAAAATGATCTCCGGACCAGAAATTGACCGATGTGATCGATAAGAATCTTCGAAGAGTTTATTTAATTCTCATTTATTTCGCAATCGCGTAGCACGAGATTATACCGTGAAATTGCATTATTCCTAATTTATTAATGATGTTGTTTTCATGCGTGCATACAGCAAAATCCGTTTGCGGCACAAATTCAAGCCGATGTAGTTTTGGGCGAGTTCATATTTCGAATTCACACAGCTATGTATATACGAAGATAATCTCTCTACGTTTACATTCAGGAACCGATGAAAACGCAGTAAGCGCGGTATGAGATACCTACATTCGTATTCGTAGCGTGGAAAATTGATCTCCACCAAAATTATGATCGATTTCGAGATTCCCTAGTTAACGGATGAAACCCGCACGGTCGACGGAAGGAAAAATGGCTCATTTTATTCGAATCGAATCGTCAGAGGGGTTGTAATTATTCGACGAGGCTCTCATCGATTGCGCATATACGAGAAGCCTATTCTGTAGAGAAACGCTCCTCCAGTATCATCGTCTTGATTAAACGCGTTGGATAAGAGGCGTTATATATGAAGATTGGATTTAATTAGTTAAGGGGTTGTGCAGAAACGTGCGCATAACAGCAGAGATGCATTTGCATCTCGAGACATCCATTGCCGATGCATCGCGCCGGCGCGATAAACTACGTGTAACCACTCCGTGAATATAAAGGCCGAAGCAAAATATATACGTGTCGCGATGAATTATGAGGGGCTAACTTTATGAGCCTCCGTGTAATCCATCCGTAATATTCGCTAAGAATTTCACGATACACGCAAACACCTGCTACTTCGCGAGGGAGGGATCGACGAGAGAGAGAGAGAGAGAGAGAGAGAGAGAGAGAGAGAAGAGAGAGAGAACGGGAAAGAAAGAGGACGATGATGAGAGAGAAGATAAAGTAAACGTGTCGATTTGATTGGTCGAATACGGGTACAGATATGAGCCGATTACGACAACGTTCTCCCGAGAACGAGAAAATAAACGCGACATAACCGGTCAAACTCTTTTCTGCAAATTGTGATTGCCAGAGTCGAGACCTCCTTTCCAATTTTCTTGGTACGAGCGCGACGCAGATTTTCACATATATTTTGAGAAAGGAAAAATAACGTTCTCCTTCAAAAGATATACGAAGTGCATCGAGGACTAAACTGAATTTTTATCGAACTCGTTTTTCTCTAATGTGCCCGGGAATATTGGAAAGTAACGTCTTTACGAATAATATCGTCTTGCCCAATTCCAAGGAATAATACTTGTCAGTAGAAGAGAAAAATTTTGTATATAGAAACAAATATTTGCGAGATTTATATATACACGAGTAAATGTATGTGTTAAAAAAAATGATCTATTATTCTATAACTAACATTTCGATTTTTTGTGTGAATAAAACGCTTTTGCAAATGATTAAATGCTGAATAGCCGAAGAAATAGTCCTGTACGTCAAAGGAAGAACTTTTTCGAAGCCTTACATGGTTCATGGCAACCAGCCGTATCACGTATATCCTATTTGGCTCATGATCAAAGAGCAACAGATATCCGACGAGCGATACGAGACTTGAAAGAAACTAGAAAATGTACGGTATCCCACCGGTGTCGTCACTTTATTTCCCGTTCTCCAATCTTCCGTGTAGATGGGAGCAGAGATGAAGGTAGCAGGAATCTTTATTCTCTGTCCAAGATTTCTTTCAATTACTTTAATATGATTACGGCGCGATAAATCCATAGAGAAGTAGCAGGCCGTGAAATCTTTTCGTAGATTCTCATTACTTTTAAATTGAGATATCTGCACGAAGCGATCGAGCACAAAATCTACGGGAGAAACGAGGTGTCCTTAGGCTAATATTATATTTTATCGTCATATGAAAGATTACACGGATGGAAATGGATGCTATTGATTTTAGCTTTCCCAAAAGCCCCTAGGCTAATATTTCACTTATCGTCCATTTTAAACTCGTCAGATAGAGAACTTGCCGGATCCTTAAAGAAATTTCACGAGTCTTCGGAAATTTCTTATCTTGAAATATTGACCCAAGCCTTTTTGTAGGGGTCCATCTACTTCCATTTCTCTCCGCAGATGATACACAAATATACCTATTCGTCTTATCGACATGCGTGATACGATTCAAAGTTTCGCATGGGGAGAAAAAGTTTGCGGCTATAGAATTTCCCATATATATTTTCGTGACGTGGCAAGTTGCGAGCACTTCATCATATAGAAAAGGACTTGTTGACCGCACGGAAAGCAATTTTCAGCGACGTTAAAAGAGCCAGTTTTCCGCCTGTCGGCCGCACAAATGCGTTTCTCCAGGCGCGTTATAAATACGACGCGCCGCTCGCAATGAGGAAAGAAACCACCCTACTTCTATTTCTCCCTCGTATCGGTCGAGTGGATTCTCCCTCTCCCGCTTTTGCACGCTTTATCACCTAACGCCGGATTGCGAATGCATAGTCTTGTAAATATACGTACACAGTGTAGACGTAGGCGCGAGCGGAATTTCGTAGTTGCATGCGGCACGTTCGGTTTCGACTTACCTAACGAAATGCCCCCGTCGTGTAGATACGTGCCCGTCTTAATCAAACTTTGACCTTGGTAGCTCGATCTGGTACTCAACTCAGACGAGGGTGGTGACTTATCCGATTTCATCATGAACGGGGAATGGTACCTCATCGGTGAGTTTCACAGAGTCTCAAGTTTATGACTTGTCAAGCCAAGCAGAATCTGTATTGGCTTGTGTGTGTGTGCGTGTTTTGTGCGAATGTGTGTTTTCAGATTAAAAATAAAATCTCGAATCGACTCGATGAATCAGTTGGGCGATACTAATCTGGAAGTAGAACGCTCAATACAGCAAATGTGGATGAATTTTTATCGGACTCGATACTTAATCATTTGAAAGATTAATACGTATTAGCGATATATAGAAAAGTGTCGATGTGATTTTTCTTACACGTCCGAATGTGACACGTTGTCTCTCGCCAACAGTCGCTTGATTGAAATGGATCAGATTTTGAAATAATATTTTGTTTTTATATACGTCCTATTTGGACGATGGAAATGACGATCGAGCAATTTATTTTGAAAAAAACAGATGATTAATAGAGAGATCCGCAAGAGAAGAAAAGAAGAAAGTCAGAGTACTCGATATAATTTAGATATTCTCCTGCCGTTTTGCATCGAGACTTAATCCTCGTCCGTTCTCAGCATGCATGCACAATGGTAATGCGCCTACGTTAATCCATCGCAATTTGTGAATCTGTTTGTACAGCTTGTACGTTATGAAAGCGCAGAATAGGAATAGAATGATGATTAAAATGCATATATATATATATATATATATATATATATATATATCGCCAAAGCTATTATAGAATTTAACGATTCTATTTTCTACGGGTGCCGTAATTACGCGGCTTTGTCTTTAACAGAAAGATCTGTAATCTTTCGTCCGCGTTTTATTCTTTAATGCGCTATACAACACAATGACACGTGGCTTAATTATGCAATTCTACTGCCCGTATTCAATAAAATCGAATGATTATTTCTACGAAGAATCTTCGCTCGAGGATTATATTATTCGGAACTAATGAAAGATTTACTCTCGGATTCTTATCCGTTCAGCTTTGCATCGCAAAATTTGCAGCTTCGACGTGATATAAGGATATGAATATACAATCAGAGTTTACGACTTGCCTCTTTATGCGGTCGGTAATATTACATAATTCACGAATGTAACTGTATTTACATATTTTGTCTTATATCGCGTCTATCTCGACTCTCCTTCGTTACTAAAATTAAGTAACTTTATGTCTCTGATTTGAAACTCTATTTTTACATTTGCATGGCAAATATATATACATATTATATATATATATTTTTTTTTAACTCATGTTGTATTATCTCTTCGTTTCTCTCTGCCAGAAAATGACAGTTGTTCGTAAAGAATACGAAGAAAAAAAAATGTATCGCGAGAGAAAATCTGTCATCTTAATTCGTTCCAGCTCCTCGACCGAATTCCGGGACGCAAATTTCGCCGGTGATACGAAACAGCGTCACCGATGTGTGAAGGAATGCTGATGGAAGTCGTTAAGAAACCGCACACTCTCGGCTTTTCGCCGATACAGCTCGCAGATGCTGCTGTATCCCAGGGCTTTTCGTTTCGCGTCAAAGCGCGATCGATATCGCGCGACCGAATGGAAATCGAAAGATTTTATGGGTCCTCCGTGTCGTTGGCGATATCCCCGACGGGTATGACTTTATACGACGTTTTCCCCTTCGCGGTGGCAATGTGACTCTCTTTCTCCCCATTTCCTCCTCCCCTCGCGTCTCACTTATTGGTCCGCATTCTTTTTACTGCATTCTTCGAGCTCGAATATCAAAAAGTGCTATTCTTTGCGGTTCTCTCGGAAGGAGAACTCACCGTGTCGACGAATCAAAGTTGCAACAGGAATGAAATTTGCGAGTCTCGATCTAGCGTTTTGAAAAAACATTCTGAAAATATATGTATATATCCGAGCGAGGGAAAAATTCCTGCCAAGAGAGAAGCGCATTCTTCCAAAACGACATTTCAAGAGAGACGCATGAAAATTTTGCGTAAAAGTGTAAAAGAAACATTGTCGTGCCGTATAAAATGAAAGAGTTTTCATACACGCATATACATATATATATATACAATGTACTTTTGTTCCAATAAAATTTATTGGACATCAAGTAGGTTTTTCGATGGTGAAGCGAAGGCGACATTGAATAAAGATTCAAAAATAAAACTGATCACAATATCAAGCGACAATAGTTTTAAAAGATGGCAGAGAGACAACATGTGTTCAATTGCGAGATACCAACAAATAAAATACGAAAAAAAACGCCAGCTGGATGCCTCCTATTGCAACCGACCAAACGGCACACACAATGTTTCCGTGTGTAATGGTGAACCATATGTCGACGTATCGATACGGGCGAGCGTAATTTAGACTATCGCCTCTAAAGTGCCGCTGTATTTTCCGAGATACGTTAATTATCCCGAACCGGATGCACCGAGTACACGATCGCACACGTCGAAATAGAAAGAAAAAGGCGTCCTGAGAAAAGTAACCAGCAACAAGTGAGTGTCCGATATCGCGACGTTCAAGATCGATTCGAGAGAGAACGTCCGATCGGAAGCTATATCGCGAAACCTTGCGTCCTCAAAAGTATCGAACGCTCGTTTTTCGCCGAGTCGCTTCGCTTCTCGCCGCCTTCTCTGGAAGTGAAAGCGCGCCAGCAGGTGCATCGTATTTAGAGACCAGGACGAGTTCTATTTTATCGCGAGGCGTGTATATATATATATATATATGTTGTGGCCATTTGTTCGCAACGGCAACTTAACTTGTCACCGAAACAGAATCGCGACGATAGAAAGAACAGAAAACACATTTCGCAACTCGGCGAGATCTTTCTTTTATATACTTGAATCTTGTGCTGCAATTTTCAGATAATTTTTGAAAGAGAGATCGCGCAAGAACAGAATTGCAAGAAAAAATCTTTAACAATAAAATCGACGTGAATCTTTCATCACAACTTGATGGCAATCTGTGCGTCCACGAAAATCTCGCGATAAAACTGATGGAGATATGATATAGATAAACCATACCTTATACCTTGGGATTTTAGTCCCCTCAGGACACAGTACAGATATAGCGGCAAGAAAAGTAGAGAAGATGAAGGACAGTAATAATAAAAACATAGTCCGCGGTAGATAGACCATACTGACAGAGATAGGTAGATAGGCAGGGGCTTTATTATGTTCTCCGTTGGGAACACATTGTCTCTGCAAGAATAGCAGGATCGAGACACGAGACACATAATATAACGATGAAAGCGAGAGAGAAAAAGTGTGTGAGAGTGAAGAAACAAAATTATCGGTAATCGAGGAACGAAATCGATGCGATTACTCACGTAAAGTATCGATATAATTTTTTTTGTAGTCTCTCGGATATGTCGGCGTGTACATTGGTTCTGGCACTTTTTCCAGGTATGCCGGGGAAGAAAAACACGATAATGTATCAGTGTTGCCCGGAGCCGTACGTCGACGTCACGTTCACGATACAGATACGCAGGAGGACCCTCTACTACTTTTTCAACCTGATCGTGCCCTGCGTGCTGATATCGAGCATGGCCCTACTGGGCTTCACCCTGCCGCCCGATTCCGGCGAGAAGCTCACCCTAGGTAACGTAACTCGTAGCATGCCTGCCTGCACACCAGCCAGACACACCTCTTCCTTTCTTTTCGATTGGTTCGTTTGGGATTGTTACTGTTTACACGATATGTAATATATACGCGATAGAGTCAATTTTTTAGAATTAGAAACTTTTACACCCCAGACGCATAGAGTTTTTCAAGACACGCGTGTGTGATCACGTACATTTTCGTATTTAACTTGTCAGAGCTCTAAATTTTTTCATTTTTTTGCATCGTTGAAGAGCGACTCTTTCTTTTCTTTTTTTATCGCATCACGATTTATTGTCGAAAAACTCAAAGTTATAATAGTTCGCCACACACTAAGGGTTTTAGAGAGTTTTTTTTTTTTTTTTTTACACATTCGTTACAAATGTTTACCTCTAGAAATTTTTCTAGCTTTTCTAATTTCCAAGCTATACGCCTTCAATTAGTGGATGATAATTTTTTCTTAGTGAATGATGGGATTATAACTGCGTTAAAACAGAAGTAAGAAAATATATATATATATTATATACCATGATATACATATGTATGCTGTATATATTACATATCTTACACGCGTGTGTTACGTCTTTATACTTTTCTGTGAATACTTTCCGTTCATACTTTATACTCTCGGCGCCACTGCTGACTGTCCTACGTTTGTTTCGTTTTGACGACGGAAGGAAGTAGTCAAGATCGACTCTACTTTCGATCACAGACGACCAAACGACGTCGCGCAACGTTCTCGTCGGGCGACTCTCATGTAACGGCGATCTATACAGCGAGACTCCATTTCTTTTTCCTCTCACGGACCACACGCACACTTTTCCGGCTGCTAAATCGTTCGGGAGGGACTCCCGATGTCTCGAAAGCTCTCGTTTCCGGATATTTATCACGGACGACGTGCACTTTCACTCGCGTAATCGATTAAACGAACATATTTTCGCAATTACCCAACTGTCGCTGGAAATCTTTATCGTCGCGTTATATTATTGCTGGGGTGATATATAAAGATATATATATTATATTCTTCGTATAATTTTTCCGTTAATCTCGATTTCTGTTTTCAAGAAATTTGATCGATATATACAAAGAACCTGTACGTAATTATCGTTCTACATATTTAGAGATAAATAGGTCGTCTTCTCTCGACACTCTTTGTTCGTCTAAATAAATAGGGGAGCTCGTCATGAATAAGAAACAACAGTGCCGAGACTGCATCAATTATGTGAAATCGATATTCCTCGCTGTATATATTTGTTTCTCACACTTACGTGAATAACGTCGCCTTACTAACGTGTCGATGTCGATACCTTCTTCTCTGTATGCGCGTTTCTTGCGCACCAGCGGAGACTCCTAGCCACGTTATCTCGTAAAATCGCAATATCTACGGCCGCCTTCGAGAGGTCTCGCGAGTTTATACGTCCACGTTTACATTTACGAAGGGTCGTTCGAGAAAGAGTGCCGCGTGATTTGAATTTTGGATACGTCGGGGCAAACCGGTACATCGCGTTAACCTGTAAGGGCGAGCTGCATGTTACATACATAGCTCGTCCGTGTATCTCGACATGTAAACGCCGCCGGGCGATGCATATTTCAGGGGCTCGACGGAATAAGCCTCTCTCGAACGGCTCCTTTGGTCCTGCAGGCGACTAGGTAGGCCACGTGAAATATTACGTACACGCTTTCTCCGGGTCCACCATGAGCACTGTACTCAAATTGACCGATGCTATCGGACGGAATTTTCCCAAGTAGGCGTATTCCTCTTCATTTTAATGAAACGTCTATATTAACGAAAGCGTTAAAGCTGACAAGTTATTAAGCCTGATGGATCGAAGGATGTTCATAATTCGAAACGGTCCATCAATCGGGAGACGGTCAAACCTCGAGATAATGTCCTCTCAATTATTCAAGGTTAACACTCGGATAACCGGCAGCAATTATACCTCTATCGTTGACTCGCTATATCTTATATCGACAAGCGCCGAGAATGAAAATGCATCAAATGACACCCGTGCATTCCCTTTGAATATTCATAGGGCACCGACAGATCCAATCTCGAGCTCTCGATAATACAGTACATCGGCTAAAAGAGAGAGTCGTTATCTATCCCTTCCCAAGTTTTTGACGTGTCGGAAACAATGGGGTCTCTCCCCACGGGACGCTTTGCGCGATTTTTGTAAGATCCATCGGGGGATGGACGACGCCATCGTCGACTTGTCGAGATTCTAAACGTTATTCGATAATTACTGGGATCGATTTCTCTCACGGTTTTTCCTTGTGATCCTTTTGCGTCTCGCAATCTTTTAGCAGCAGCAGTTTGTTTCTCTCATCTCGTGCGACTCTCCGAATTCAATCAGGCATTCGAACACACCGAGTACGAATCGTATCATTTCCGTGGTCGAACAATCGACGAGTTCGATAAAAACGCGCGGAACATCAAAGTGGGATATTAGAGAAACCGTTTCACCGAGATGTATCGACTCCGGTTGGGAGCAAATTCGTTTCACGATACTCGCTCCCGATACGTGATCGTACTTGCCATCCAAATCGTCAATTCTCGATACGTTCTCGATACTACCTCACGTATCGCTAAGACTGCTTTCTTCCTTTCGTTATTTTTCACGGTGAGATTAGTCGGAAGTTCATTGCTGTAAATTATAATGGATTCATTGCAAAATTTGCGACGAGTTCCTCGGCCCGTTTTCCCATCTATCATATTTAAGAGAAGTTCTGAAAGCTGTAGCAATTACCAGGCAATCTCTGTGCAGGGATCGTATCATATTTTTCTATTTATTTTTCCTCAAAAATCATCTAGAATCCCGCAAAAATGTTTGTACAAGATATTAATATAAATCTGAAATATAAACGTACGGTTTCTCGCACTTTATTTGCGATTTAATTTCCTCAAGTCAAATGTAACATACTGTTACATAAATAGGAATGTAGTATACATATACTTCTCTCTCTCTCTCTCTCTCTCTCTCTCTCTCTCTCTCTCTCTCTCTACATATATATAATTTTCTCTATATTTTATTTGACGACGAAAAGTATTGCGATTGACACTCTCACTTTGTCAGATCATCTTGCATAACATGAGTGGTTTGAGAAACGACTTTTTCGTTCGTCGCACACAAGAATTGAATTTTCCTGTGGTGCTTCGGGAAAACGACAACTCAGAATCGATGTTGACGCCGATTCGCGTCGCCCTTGTGTCCGAGGTTGCTCTCGACGAACGTTATAGCGTTATGATATTAGAGACAAACCGGACATCGCACACTCTTTACGTCGTACATTATTTTCGGTAAAACTGTAAAAATATTTCCTCTCGGTGCTCGGTCGCGTAGAGATCAAAGTATCGAATAGATGTCATGCCAATGAATAAATGTCGATAGATCGTGAGACTTACATTCGACTTTATTGTGACGTCAATGTGAATTTCTATTAAATTATGCCGTAAATTAAATTATGAAGTAAGGAGAAATTTACAACTTCCGAGCCTTCCCTTGAGACGTTCAATCGAGATACTTGGATTATAGAATGTTACAGATACATTAACTTTTATTAATTCTTTGCTTAACTTGGAGCAGATTTTCATTTAATTAAAATATTGAAAGAATATAATATATTACCTGAGCAAGCAATTGAAAATAGAGTCCTTTTTATGATAATAGAATTTTCTAAGGTGCGATTAAAATCTTATCGTTTGCTTAAATAGAGATTTTTGTAGAGAGAGAGAGAAGGGAAGAGAGAGAGAGAAAATTTTAATTTTTAATGCAGTTTAGTCATAAAGAAGATATATAATATTAAATATTAAAAAATGCGAGAGATAAATAACCTTCTATAAAATATTATTTATTGAGTGCATATTTATCAAAGCAGCTGCCATTAAAATTAAATTTCTAGCACAACACTTCTACTTGAATAACCATATTTAACCTTTCATATGCAAATACGATTTCAAATATAATAAATAATAAAAAAACATGATCGTATGATCAAATTAAATGAGGAAAATATTGACGTGTTAAAAATTGCCTTTATTATTCAACTCTATGTCATTTTTCGGATAAATAGAAAAATGATTCAATTCTGATAAAAAGAGCGGGATACGTGTTTTGGAAAGGTAAAAACGTAAATGCATACATGCACGAATAACGCTCGTTGCATGTTTTCATACATCTCTCCATAAATTTATATATAATACAAAAAGGAAGATAGACACAAATTATAATACCATTGGAATTTATTTGATCTATCCGCGAGATATAAATTTCGTTATGTTCGGCGCACATAATTCAATCTTCCTTGAAAGCGTGCCTTTTTTCTCTTTTTATTTAACGCCTTCGATGCCTTGTCGTTCGATCCCTCGTCTCTTGATTTAATCACGCTAAATAAATGCCACAACGCGAGTGCTCGGCAGATTTTCGTTACGTGCAATTTGTGCTTGACGTTGTCAACTATGGCACAAGTTGCAGTAAAGTCTGGCATTGCGACATGGCTATATGCAAAGTACCTCATTATCACGTGTCATACTTCATGGACTAGTTCCCGGATATTACAATAATGAAATACGGTTATGTCCATGCACACGCGTTGTGCGAACGTTGTTTAATTTTTAATGACTCTCCAGGAATTAATATCTGCCATCCCATTTTTCTAATTTTAACGCGATAATTTAAATCAATTTACTTAAAATATGTAACATGAGTCAAGCATAATATAGTTATATAATAATACAGTTTTAATATAGTTATAACAATATAGTTTATTTATATAATATAATACAGTTAATAATTAAATACTATTGCAGAAACCATGCAACTATATCATTCATCAAGTTGAAATTAAACCTCAGAATTTTACGAGTACCCGTTGCGCTGTGCTGTAATCGTAAAAATTGAACGAGCTAAAAATTACACGTCGCGTCGTTTTACGCTGGTTAAAGTGCCGCTTTTTTCGTGGTTAATAATAGTCCGCAAAGTTTCACCGAATGAGAGCGAAAA